CTCTCTCTCTCTCTCTCTCTCTCTCTCTCTCTCTCGTGCGAAACGCGTTCCACGAAGTTTAATCGCCGGCCGGTGAACTCTAAATTCAACCGGTCCCCGATCTATCCTCATTAACCGGGGAAACTTGGAAATATTATTCGCGTCGCGATGTTATCCGGCCGATTAAAGGAGAGCCGCGGAGCGTAGTAAATCATCGTTTGGGAAATCCGCGGGTGTAATTCCGTAATGAATTTCCGCCAACTTTCCGCCGACGTGAACACGGATCGGCCAAACGGGAAAGGACGACCAGTCGGACGAACAAGGCGTAATTTATGAACGGAACGGGCACACACGCGAGTCAACGTTTCACGTCCTGTTTAAACAAATACGTTAAAAAAGTATTTCCTGTCCAGGTTTGATTTCATACGTGGAATCGTTCCTCGTACGTATATTCGCGACGAGAGAATATTTTCGCGCTTTAAGAGCTGTCGATGATCGTCTAACGCCAAACGGCAGTTAATATCCTTCTCCCTAATTCATCCGTGGAAACCCGGATCGTTTCGTTTTCGAGAAGGGGAGAGCGGTATTTTCTGGCGGAAGGTTTCGAACTGTTGGTGTAATCCAACAGTCTTGGGCTCGCACATTCACGTGGCAGGAAAGGGTGGTGGTGTAATTTGCGGCTTGTAATACCGTGGCCGTCATTTGTAACCTGTTCGGGATACGCAAGTACGGTTGCGGGGGAGAGAAGGAGGGAGAGCGAAAAGAGAGATGGGCAGAAGGAGGAAACCGACGTAACCGCATCGAGGGGGATGGTTTTCCACGACTGAACGTGGGCAAAACTACCCCACGTTCATTTTCTTCCCGTCTTCCCGGAAGATACACTCGTCCATCCCTTCGTTTCACAGGTTTCCGACAGGTTTCCGCGTCCCCCGCATCACCTGACACGCGCGTTTTAATCGCTCTGTACTCGTTCTCCCGGTAAATTTTCATTTACCTCGGACGATTCCTCCGAAAGAGGAGGAAGAAGGGAGAGGAGGAATTCTCTTGACTTCGGTGCAATCTCTATGTAAATACATTTATCAAGCCCCGTTGCTCCCTATTTCGGTAAAGATAAAGAATAAATAACGGGAAAAGGTTGAAAGAGGTGGAGAGGAGAAGGAAGAGAAAGGCGAAAGATTCAAATGAAATTTCGTATTTCGTTTTTACGGATACGCTCGATTTAGCGGATGGTTCAATAGAGGTGAACCCCACGAACGCGGAGGATGAAAAGGATGCAGCCTGTGAGGGGATGCATTCATTTTGCACGGGTCATAAGACCTTCTTGCGATGTTAG